TAATAATAATATTATTAATAATAATAATAATAATAATAATAATAATATAATGATTCATTGATTTTGACAATTATATGGTTTTAATGTGAACACAAAAAAAGAAGAATAAAAGGGATGATGGCATAAGCATATGTTTAATGTAAGCCAGAAGATATATATAAACATTAACAAACAAAAAAATATAAAAAATATAGGATAAAAGAAGAACAAAAATATTTGTTTCGTACATTCTAACAAGAAATATTTTGTTCGCATCGAATTTTCTTGTGTATTTTAAATGATACACAACAACACAATAAAATATTATATTGCATAATGTGTTATAATCGCGCTACATTATATACGCTAGTAAGATAATTTTAAGCTGATATATACAAATACGTATTGCGTTGGATCCAAAAAAAAAACCAGATGCGATTAACTAACAATTGCATTAGACGATTAACAAAGCAAACTTTCCATTGTTTTTAATATCTATCTAACAGCATTCACATACACGTACACGCAAGCTGTTCATTCTCGATTCTTATAATGTTTTTAGTATGAACAGTGAAGCTATATATACATAAATCTTATTAACAAAAAAATGTGTCCCCCTGATACTGTTACGAGTATGAACAGTTTGTACATTGATGAATTCCATATAAATTGTATATTGTATACGTTAGAAAGAGAATCTGTGGCACAATATTCGCGTTGATAAAAAATGTCACAGAAAGAGAGAAAGAAAGAGAGAGGGAAGAGAAATTGGATGATTGAGAAATAGATGGAAGGACAATTATTCGAAAATAGTTACACAAATCTAAAAAGAAAGAGAGAGGGAAGAGAAATTGGATGATTGAGAAATAGATGGAAGGACAATTATTCGAAAATAGTTACACAAATCTAAAAAGAAAGAGAGAGGGAAGAGGAAAGGGAGAAGTTAAAAATGTAATGTGAATTCCAATAATAAATTTACAAATTAATCAATTCGTGAGTAATAAAATTAAACCAAACCAAAAAATAATAAAGAAACGGGACTATCAATAATCATTAAATCCATTCGATGGAAATAATAATAAAATAATTTCTTCGTCTTCGATCATGGGAGGAATCAGAAAAAAGGCATGAAGGAAGCATGATCAAGATCAAGATCAAAAAGAAGAAAAACAAGAAGAGTGCATTCCAAGGTGTATATATGTACCCATAACGAATAATCGAAAGCTGATGGAGCGGTAGAAGAAAGAGCAATAGCAAGAGGTAGTAGTAGTAGTATTAGTAGCAATAATACAGCGATGAACACTTTCCCTTGATAGTCGTGTTAGGGATGGCGTGTTTCCATCAGAGAAAAGGAGGAAGAGTAAATAAAGAGAGAGCGAGCGAGTAAGCAAGCAAGCAAGCTAGCACATCAGAAATAAAGTGTGTCGAGGTCTTTTCACGGGCAGTCGCTGTAGCCTGGGTTCTCTGCAATCACGGTTGCACGAAAACTTGCTTCCTTCTTACTTTTACACAAGTTTTCAATTAAAACAAAAAAAAATTCTTCTTTTTCTCCCCTTTAATTCATCACTCTTTTATCTCTTCACTCTTCTTTTGCATTCTTTCTCTTCTCTGGGTGTCTATCTCTATCCTTTTCTTTCTTCGGGTCTCCTCTTTTCTCCCTTCTCTTTTCTTTTTCTTCTTCTGTCTCCTTTCAACTCTCTCTCTTTTCTGCTCATATCTCTCTCTCTCTTTCTCTCTTTCTTTCTTTCTCTTTCTTCAAATTCGATACCATGCAAAATTTGCCGGTACTCCGGTGATCTTCACGACAGAGAGTCTCTTTTAATAGTTCAGCACTGTGTCTGCTGGTGAGCTACTCAGAAAGTGTTTAGTAGGTGTCAGGTGTGGTGTGTGACAGTCTCAGCAGTAGTGTTGTGGATTAAGTGCTGGAATGTACGTGAAAACTTGATGGGAATTTCTTTAACGAAGATGTTCTCTTTATTTCTTTTTAGTAAGTGTATTGTTTATGAGAGAGAGAGAGGGAGAGAGAGAGAGAGAGACACAGAAAGAGACCACCCTCTCTCTTTTCTATAACAAATCCTAACAATATCACACTGGCTGAGATTGTTTAGATGATGATAGCGAAGTAATTTTTTATTTTGTATTATTTTGTATTTTTGCTTTTTTTTTTTATATGCAAGAAAGAAATGTTTTAACATAGTGATTTGCGTTAGAACCTGAATCGAGAAAAAGGATAGAAATGTCAGCAAAAAATAAAAATATAAAATAATAAAATAAAACCAAAATCCACAAATGTTTAGAGGCGTGTGTATCGTAGAAAACGCGGTACTTTCTACATGCTGCTTTCAAACTAACGTCAGTAGGTCTCTTGTTCATGAATTTTGATTCGTTCTTTCATTATTTTTATGTATATGCATGATGTTTTTCTTATAAATATTCTAATATCTATCTAATTAAGAAAATATATAAAAATAAATGAAATAATTGATCGTCATTAGTATCATAATTTTAGATTATATAAATACATTAAAGTAAATGATTGAATTACATATTTGTCGTGACAAAACAAATAATTAAAAAATATGCATTTAACTCGCGCGGAGCACGTGTGTTCTAATGTGTTGTCGTCGTAATTGAAGAAGAAAATCACAAACCGTAAAGAACACAACGCTAAGCGCAGTTTCTTATCACGCGCCGTTTATTAATTGTAACTTTTGTTTTATTTTAACGAAGAATCTTTCGTTTGTATTATCCAACATGAAATCTATTCTATCTTTCTTTCTCTTTTTTTTCTTTTTTTAAATTTTTATTTTATTTTATTTCAATTTGCTGAAATTCAGCACACTTTCACCGTGCGTCAGAACGTAACGCTTTCGATAAGAGTTCCTTTTTTTGTATGTACATAAATAAGAACTCACATTTTTGTTTCATTTATTGCACGAAATTCATATTTACATTAATTAGTATAATTGCATTAAAAAAAAATCTTGTTCTTTAATTTATGCTTTAGAATCATTTAAATCGTCGTGAAACAGATCAATGGAAACAAATATTTCACACACACATACACACATTCAAAAGTTCAATTAAATTCGATTAAATTTAGTCTACCTGTATGCACGATACAAGATGCAATTAGAATAGAGCAATCAAGCAATTAACACCCTATTGCATAAGCAGTCATCATCGTTCCTTCAGTTAGTTTTTGTATTTTTTTTATAATCCTATCAGAAACATAACAATATTTTGAATGTCATTATACCCGCATGATGAGGGTTTTTTTCTTACACCATCTCCTATAATTATCAAATTACCTGTTGCATCAAAATGTAGCTCAATGCCATGTCGATAAATTACGTTATGAGATATTATCAAAAATAAAAAACAAAAGTCATGCAACGATGTTACACAATTTTGATAGACATAATTATTTTCATAATTAAAAAAAAAAAAAAGTGAGAGAAAAATTGAATTCTCTCGTGTGTAAATGTGTGTATACATATAAACATAACACAGTGACGCGTACGCGTACACACACATACGTACATTAACATGTATAGAAGCGCACTTAAAGTTCGATGAAGTATGAAACTTTCTTCGTATATTTTACGATTGGGATTTTTCAGATACAGATGAGAGAGTGGTCATATAACAATGATCACGTTTCGCTCTCTTACCCCCTTCTCATTCTAAGAAAAATAAATGATCTTCACTTCGACGTAAATAGTTTGAATGTATTAGCTGTATGAGTCAGTGAACGGAAGAAAGGCACACTTTCTCGTCGAGCAACTTTCACCGTCGATGAAGTCCATGTGTAGTAACTTGTACCGAAAAGTCCTCCTTTTTCATGCACACGTAATTTTGTAATTAGACTCCCCTTATATACCCCCAGCCCTTTCTTTCTGTCCTGTCCTTCTTTCTTTCTTTCTTTTTTTCTTTGTCTTTCAACCTTCAATTTTTCATTCAACTTGATAAATGAGAAGTCTTCTCGATGTCATACAAATTCTATTAGATTATTCATTGAAAATCAAGCTTAAAAGAAAAAATAAATATATATTAAAAAGATTAGTATTCTTTACCTGTATGTAATTAACCCAATAAACGATACAAAAATGTTCCTTCTCTCATTGATTATGCAGAAATGGAACGTGGGATGACAAAGAGACGTTTCTAAGCTATTCTTTTTTATCTTGTTCTTTGAAAGAAAGGTCGAAAAGAAAGGATCACCTACATAACAATGACTAAAAGTTGACATTAAAATAAATAAAACAAAAAAATTTAGGAATGAAAAATGACAAGGATCCGTATCTTCATCGTTGTTTTATTTGATAATGATAGCTTCAAATTTGGGTTACTCAAAGAACCGGTTCTTCCCTGATTCCAAACATATTCCTTTGTGCCGAAATATTCGAAATAAGTTTAGAAGCCGGATATAATTCTATGGGATTTTTTTTTAAAGAAGATACTCATATAAATTCTAGTTCAAGGGATATTTCTAAATCAATTCGATCATCTTCTTTGATTTTTCTTTCTTTTTGAATGTCTTATACACAAATACAAAATTTCTTATTAACACGATATTTTTCGATATCGAGAATTCCCAAATGATTCGAAAGTTGTCTTTCGACTCATACTTTTCGCAAGTATTGCATAACACATATGGCGTCTATGAAAGAAATACCTATTTACTTATTCAGAACACACGTTTAAGTAATAGGTTTTCCAATGTCTCATTGAATTGAAAATTTATAGGCTTGTTGCACAACATGATATTGTATAAAGAAAAAAAATTTCATTCCCAAGAAAAAACATTCCATTTTTTTTTCAATTGAAAAATTGGAAATAAAATAATGATTATTATCAATCATTTTCTATAATTACAGAATTTTGTTTAATATGGAATATATTTGGCGGAGCTTTTTCGTATACCGAAGAAATTGTACGATATCATGGTCAACGTAAGTAAAACGAATGATTGACCAAATTTTTGATCTTAGGATTATAATTTACGTAATATTTAGCATTAGGATATAGAATACCATCTTCTTATGGGCCATTACCGACTCGAGGATGGTCATCGGAAACTTGGAATTCCGGAGTACGAAGAACGGGAAGTCAATTGTACAGAAGAGACGTTCAAATTCGACCACCCCGTGTACATCTGGTTAAAATTGAAGAAGAACAGACAGATCCTTTGACGACTTTAAGCGAAACTTTAGGCGCATTGAACACTGTGGGTAGTTACATCGTTAATATGACGAGAGGAGTGGAGAACTCGAATAGTCCACCAAAAGAACTCCCATCAGCTTTATACACCATATCGAAAAATATTTTAGGTGGGATTGTACTATTAATTTGTTTAAACAATATTATTCAACATTTGTAAATATCGTTTAAATATCATAGGACTTAATGTAACGGACAGTATAGCACCATTGGTGAGAAGAGGTGTTGGATTAACATCGAAACCAACAATAAAATTACAAACAACAGGAATTCCATTAACAACGACAACAACAACAACAACAACTGTAAGGACTACAACATTAGAACCTACAATTTTAGCCGTAACATCAACAAATTTATCAAGACCAATTTCTCAAATACAACCTCAACAATCAGTGGAATTAGCTAATAGGGATAGAGAATCCGTAATACCTACGTGCATTACAGCAGATGGTTCATCAGGGAAGTGTCAAGATCTCAGTAATTGTCCACAACTATTGCTGGATTTGAAAAAACTAAGACAATCCTTATGTTTCAAAAGTATATTCGTACCTGGCGTTTGTTGTCCAATGAAAAAAACTGATGATTTATTGAACGATGGGTAAGATAAAGAAAGATTAAAGAACTATCGATCAATAATTCGATAATATTTGATTGTGTTCTTAATCTTTCAGAATAATCACTGGTACCGTTTCTCCGCCAATTATTGAGAACACTGTACGACCTACTCGACCACCATATCGCCCTATAAAACCACCTACACCTCGACCTATACCATTGTATCCAGTTGATTCATCTACTTTAGAACCATCAACCGGAACGATCCTGATGCCAGATTTGTCAGTCAACAATTCGAACAATGTTGAGACACTAGGCACTGTCGACAATAATTACATACAAGATGACGAAGGTATTTGACCATTTTTCGATAGCATTGTCATTAAGTTAGAAAGTCAATCAAATATTTTCTATCCGTTAGAATGTGGAGTGAGAAATTCTGGAAAGTATAGGGTTGTTGGAGGTGAAGAAGCATTGCCAGGACGTTGGCCTTGGATGGCAGCTATTTTTCTTCACGGTTCAAAGCGTACTGAATTCTGGTGTGGGGGATCCTTAGTTGGACCACGTCATATCCTAACTGCTGCGCATTGTACGCGAGATCAACGACAACGACCGTCAGTAAAAACAATTTCTAGTTTATTTCTATATTGTCTTTTTGATGAGAAAGTGAGGAATTTGTATAAAATAAATTCAACATTTTTCAAACGATTAGATTTGCTACAAGACAATTCACTGTACGTCTTGGTGATATAGACCTCGAAAGAGACGATGAACCGTCCTCACCTGAAACCTATGCCGTTCGAGCTATTTATGCTCATCCTAAATTTTCCCGAGTTGGTTTTTACAACGATATCGCTGTACTCGAATTAAACAGACCTGTTAAAAAGTCACCCTATGTGATACCAATATGTCTACCACAGGGACGCTTTCGTAGTGAAGTTTTTGCTGGTGCTAGACCAACCGTTGTCGGATGGGGTACAACATATTACGGTAATTTATTATTTCATTAAATTATCATTCAAAAGTATATAACGTTTACATTAAACATATTAACAATAACACAAATCTGTGGAAACATGTAACAGGTGGAAAAGAAAGTACAGTTCAACGACAAGCTGTATTGCCTGTATGGAGAAACGAGGACTGCAATGCAGCTTACTTTCAACCAATTACGAATAATTTCTTATGTGCTGGCTACAGTCAAGGTGGCAAGGACGCTTGTCAAGGTGATTCAGGCGGCCCATTAATGTTAAGAGTCGAAGGCCGATGGATGCAGATAGGCATCGTATCTTTCGGTAACAAATGTGGTGAACCTGGTTATCCTGGTGTTTATACACGCGTCACGCAATATCTCGATTGGATTAAAGGAAATTTCAAATGAATTTATTATATTATGTTTGATAAAGTGCCAAGGATAAATTAATCAATGGTGGTTTTTTTTCTTGTATAGTTCTAACATGTACATTATTACTATCTCTATTCGATTTATTATTCATATTGTTGTAAATATCCAATAATGTGACCCAGTGTATATTCATTGAATATATTTTAATTTATTGTTATTTGTTGTGTGTTCATCGTTTTTTTTTCCATAATTATTAAAACCCATAATTTCTTTTTAGCAATATTTTTAAGTCACAATGTATACGCATTACTATCGCCATCTTTAAATTTAAATAATCTTGTCATCTCACTAGTATCACGAAATTATGGTTGCTTACGTCCAAATTTGAAGTTTTGTGAAATGCTATTCGTTCCGGTGAAATGATTAAATTAACAATTATTTTGTAAAAAAGTTAAAATTTTTCATTTGAGTATGATAAATTTTTAGTGTTTTTTATACATTTATGTCATCATGTATAAAATTGAAAATTTTTAAACACATTTGTATTTTATAATCAAGAATTAATTTTAATTATGTCGATCGGAAACAAAATTAAAAGCGTTTCAGTCGAAGATTTAGGGAGCATCGTTAAACAAATGATCAATGGAACCCTTGAAAATACTGGTAAATATGATTATAAATATAAAAAAAAATAATGCACTTTTTTTTAATATTTAATATTATTTATAAATTTAAATATTAGCACAAGTCGCCAAATTACATCGGGTTGTTTATGAGGAATGGTGTTCCAAAAAAATGGCTAAATTAATAAATTCACATTCAAGAGAAATATCAGAAAATTTAATTGAAGATATTGACAAGGTTTTATCCCATAATTAATTATATATTTTTTTAATATATTTATTATATTAAAATGACAATATTTTTAGGATACATTATCATCAATTATATTAAGCAACAAATTTAATTCAAACTATGAACTTAATTCACAATCTTCTAAAATTGAAATGAATAATCATACTGAAAATATAAAAAAAATAAAAAATGAGCCAAGCAAGAAAAATATTGATATTATAAATATTAATATTGAACGATATTTCAAAAATAGACGATCAAAAAGTGATTCTACGTTAACAAATATTACAAATTATTTTACAAAAGATAATATTGATTTAAAAACTCGATCGTTAACTTTTAGTAATATTAATGGATTTAATAAATTTAATTCACGAATTTCAATAAAAGAAGTAAGTTAGTAAAACGAGTATTTGTAAATATCTCATTTCGAATATCGATTTTAATTATTTTTGTAGACAAAATTAGAAGACAATTGTGCAAATGAAGATAAAAATATCGTTTTATTCAACGACACAAAAATGAATGTAGATATAGTCGAAGTATGGAATAATAATCCACAAAAAACGGACCCAAACAAGAAGGCAAAGCGTGATCCAATTAAAATCAATCGTAAAACACAAGATAATAAAATGTTCGATTAATTAACAAATTAAATTAACTAAATTAATTATTTTAAAATTATAAAAATAATATAATTTTGTTTTTAAAGGAAATATGAAGATAAAAATTACTTAGCATTCGAGAATTGGAAGAAACAAAAAAATATTAAATATAAGCAAATGATCAAACAAGAACAAAAGGAGAAACAACAGAAATTACAAACTAAATTAGCAGAAATAGAATCTAAAAGACTAGCTCAGGTTTCGAATAAATTTTTATCTACAATATAAAATATTGTAATTTATTTCCATTTACTCTCTAATTGTAAATTATATTTCTGTGAAAATAAATGAACATAGATGTGTGCCCATATAAAGAAACAGCAGATGATGCAAGAGAAACGAAAATTATCTAAAGAATTACGAATGATTGAACAAACGAATCTAAAATCGCATAAAGAACAAATGGAAATGAAACGTATAGTAAATGATAAAGTTTTCAAAGAATGGAAGAGACGAAAAGATGTTAAATTGAAAGAGCAAAAGATTTTGTATGATATAAATAATTATTATTATTTTATTTGTTCCTAATGGAGATACTTTCATTGTTTGATATAAAATATTTTCGTTATAGGAATCGATATGCCAATTATTATTACTATCAACAACAACAACAACAACAACAGCAGCAACAACAACAGTTGGGACGTACGTACTTCGTGCAAGGCATCAATACAAAATTTAATTCCTGGCTTAATCAATTAGATTGGGTCTTGCACGAAAAATATTTACGCGAACGGCGCTATCTGGTACGTTCTTTTTACTGTCAACCAGCTTATTACGGCAATGCAGCTGATATTGCATATGCTAATTATTTATAATAATATATGATTCATATATTTTTATATAATATATATTTATCTATATATATATATATCTTAAATGATGTCTATACTACACACGTATAGTACATTTGCTAAACTATAATAATATAATCTGATAACAAAATAATAAATTAACACGGTAAAATTATTCACAATACTATATAACACATTTCGATTAAATAGTTGATGATAAAAATATTCTTGGGTTTTTTCATACATATTTTTTTTTATATGTATTATACTTTAAATATTATTTGATTTATCGGTTATCAAACAAAATAACACAACCTATTGTTCAGAGACGACTCTTGATATTTTCTTGATATTTTTCAGATCCTCGTAATATTTTTGCACATAAAATATATCAAATTTTTATTTGTCGTGTTTGTTGGTGTTTTTTAAATTGTTTAGTGCTTTTTGAACTAAATTTTCTAAATTTTTAGGAAGACTCATTTGCGTAATATGTTCTGATTGTATTTCCGAAGACGAATTATCTACAATTGTTTCTTTTTTATCAGTCGAATTTTCATTGATATTTTCTGTAGTACGTTCAGATATGTTGTCTAGATCATTACGAAGACTATTACCTGAGAAGTAACATTTGTAATAATTTGTATGATTTATTAATAAGAATATTTACGCAAACACTTACTTTTTTGGTCAACATCCGAACTCGTGTAGCCTTCCAATAATGTTTTTGTTGGCGACTCTATCATACTGTCCAACTCACAAATTCTCAAAGCCAAGATTCTATACATTCATTACATAATTATTTACACATTAATTAATTTAATATATTTAAAGTAATTTATATCCAACTTACTTATTGGCTTTTTTCTGATGAGCTAAAGCTAAAGTTTTATCGTTCAAGGCTTCCATCAGAGCAGTACACAAACAATGTAATTCTTCTATCGCAACAGTAGATTTTCGTGTTTGCTGTAAAAGTTCCTCGACTAAAATTATAATACATATGAATAAACTTGTAATATTTATATTCTTAAATTATTGAAAGATATTACTTCTAATATTAGCTGTACTAGTACTTAGAAATGAAACATTAAACCTTGTTTGTGTTTCATCACCATTCCAGCAGCAGGATTAACACCAAATTTAATGGTTTCTTTGGTTCTTTTACTATCCAACATGCTCTGATAACAAATGATTATAAATTCTGTATATTATTATTGCAAATAAGTGGAAACATTTCATACAAAAATTTATTCTCACTTTATATTTTGAAAGAGATTGTCTTGCGAGTTCCTTTTCCTCAATTAGTTGTTGTAATCTTTCTTGCAAATATCTAAATAATTAAATAATATTTAATTACTTGAACTTGTTCTGATTATCATAGAATAATTTAAAATTTACCTGTTTTCATTAATAAGAGCATCTACATCAATTGGCTTAGATGCATTCAATGCTTTGGATAGTTCATGATTTAACCGATGTGCTTTACATTTAAACGCATCTCTTTCCATTTCTAATTCATATTTTTCATCGAGAACAGTTTGTAGATCTATTTGTAATTGTGAACACTAAAATAACAAATCAAGTTAACAATAACAAAATTAATAATTTAAACAATAAAATCATGTAATAACCTTTATATTTAATTTTTCTAATTGCTCAATCATTTCTTCTTTCTGATGTATCGCGGAAGTATATTGTGTTTCCTGTTGTTCTTTATTACTACGATTGTTATTCGTTCGTAGTATTTTAATATCACCTTGGACGTCGCGTAACTTTTGCTTCAATATTTCGACTTGTAACATCAAACATTTGTTATGTTCTCTTGATTTTGATAGAAGATTCAACGTATTAAAGTCATTATCAGTACTGTAGCTAAACAATAAATAAGTTAGATTTTAAATATCAATTTGACATACGATTTGCAATCGTGTCATTAAATTACCCGTTTGATCCTTTCGTATCGTTTAGCTGTTTCTCTAAATGTAGAAATTTTTCTAGTACTTCTTCAGCCATAGATTTATATTGATCTTTTTGTATTCTACATTGATCGAGTTCTTGATTTAAAAGACAAAGAGCATGCGACTTGGCTTGCAATTTTTTTATCAATGTTTCCTACAATTAAACACACATTTTAAAAATAACATTTGATGAACATTGATTGGATATTTTCTATCATTTAAAAAATTAGAAATAAACGTACTTTAGATTCTTGATCCATTGCACTTTCATTAGTTAATCTAATAAGTGAATTCTTTTCTTTTGGTTTTTGTTCCATTGCATGTAATAAAGTAAATGACAAATCTATTAATACATAGGATAATTATTATTAATTGATATAATTTCTTTTTCTATAATTCATATATAAATTATATGTTTCTATAGATCAATTTAAGATGCAAATTATTGCACTTCATTACATACAACACGCGACATTTCCCCATATGTGCTTAAATGTGTGGATTTTACCCACTATATAGTATTAAATTCTAGGAAGGAGAAATAATAATCAGATTATGGTTTGCGGTTTTATAGCACGCTTTAATAACTTGCATAGTATATAGAGACAACTGATTGACTCGCGCGTTTTGTGCCTCGGGTTATTATTCTTTTGGACATCGAACCTTGCGAGGTATCGACTATGCTTCTAAATGTTGCCGCGAGCTGTCGTACTTGATACTAGGGATTTTTCGTTGCTCCTTACAAATGCATACAACATGAAACATTATAGTACAATAGTATTATCAAAAAAAAAAATTGTTATCCTTATTTGAATAAATAAATATTTAAATATATACATCTTTTTTTATGCAAATTTACAAAAGACAAATGATTCATAAAACATTAATCTAAATATCATATTTGTTTAAATATTATACTATTTCATCCATATAAAAAAGACTTTATATACTTTTCTGATTGATTAGTTTCTGAATGACTCAAATATACAATTTTTTAATATCAAATAATGATCAAATACTTCAATACATTTGTTGCAATAGTTCACAAAATCAAAAATAAAGGCAGCACTTTCGAGTATTTCCTTCGTATTCATGATTCATATACTCATAGGGATATTATCAGTGTTGCTTATTGCACGTGGGCAGTTTTCGAAAAAGTAAAGTGTTTTTGGTTTGTGTAAATAAAATTAATTTTTATTTTCCTCAAAGAAAAAAACAAAATGTCTTTTCCCGATAAAGTTTTAATGAGAAAGATTGTGAAAAGAGAAAAGAATAAATTGAAAGTATTGAAGGAGAGATCCATTAAGCAAAATGGTAAATATAATTTATAGGTTATCTATACACAACAAAATATTTCTTTGTGTGTCTTATAATATAATTTAATAATATTTATTAATAATTTAAAAAAGACTAGTTTAATGAGAGAAAAAACAGATTTTAATGTCGTATGCTACTTGTATTTAAAGGTGAAGTTGAACTTGAAAATCTTGAAAATGATGTCGATGAAGATACTACAGAAGAAAAAATTGGAATTAAGCGTCCAATGACGCAAAATGGTCCAGCTAAGAGTAAGTGATACTTTGTAATTTATTTAAAATCTATGAATACATATAATAATAATAAATTTATTTATTAGAAAAGAAAAAAGACCAAGAGATATCTAAAATTTTGGATGAACAAAAAGTAGACGAGAATTCTGAAAACGACTCTAATGATACCAAAAGTGAAGAGAATGAAAATACTCAATTAAAGAATACTACAGATGACATTGAGAAGAATTGTAAGTTTAGAAGAGACTTTACAGTAACTGTACTATCATTTAAGAAATAATACCAAATTATTTATCGTTTTAGTACCTGGGTCTTCTCTAGGATTAGAAGTATTGAATAATAATAGTTTTGAAACATTAAGTAAACGTGTTTGTGAAAACACTCTTAAAGGAATACAAGATATGGGTTTCACGCACATGACTGAGATACAAGCAAGATCAATTCCACCGTTATTAGAAGGAAGAGATTTAATTGGTGCTGCCAAAACTGGATCAGGAAAAACATTGGCTTTTTTAATACCTGCTGTTGAATTAATTTATAAATTAAAATTTATGCCACGCAATGGTATGTTCTATTTATATTAAATTATTTTGTACATTTGTCTACTTTTTTCTTGTATATATGTGTATGTATATTTTAATTTAGGTACTGGATGCATCATTATTTCTCCTACAAGAGAATTATCAATGCAAACGTTTGGTGTTTTAAAAGAGTTAATGAAATATCATTACCATACGTATGGTTTATTAATGGGCGGTGCTAACAGACAAACCGAAGCACAAAAGCTCTCGAAAGGAATTAACATCATTGTTGCTACACCGGGTAGATTGTTGGATCATTTACAAAATACTCCAGACTTTTTATACAAAAATCTACAATGTCTTATCATCGACGAAGCCGATCGTATTTTAGACATTGGTTTTGAAGAGGAATTGAAACAAATTATTAACATTTTGCCAAGTTAGCATCAATCATAATAACAAAAATTATCCTACATAAATTATACAGAAAAGTAATTATAAATTGTATTACAGAAAGAAGACAAACTATGTTATTCAGTGCAACGCAGACTAAGAAGGTAGAAGCATTGACGAGTTTAGCATTAAAAAAAGAGCCTGTTTATGTTGGAGTCGATGATGAAAAAGAGAAGGCAACTGTGGAAGGTTTAGAACAAGGCTATGTAGTTTGTCCTAGTGAAAAACGTTTCTTATTGTTGTTCACATTCCTAAAGAAAAATAGAAAGAAGAAAATTATGGTATTCTTCAGTTCCTGTATGTCCGTCAAGTATCATCATGAACTTTTAAATTACATTGATCTTCCTGTATTAAGTATACACGTGAGTATTCGGTTATATGGATTACATTAAATTAATTATCATACAAAATACATTAGTATAAAAAATACTTTAAAACTTTCTTACATACAGGGCAAGCAAAAACAAACTAAACGGACAACAACATTTTTCCAATTTTGCAATGCTTCTTCCGGTATACTTTTATGTACAGATGTAGCTGCTAGAGGTCTCGACATACCCGATGTTGACTGGATCGTACAATACGATCCACCGGATGATCCTAAGGTATGTAATTGTTATATGTTTACCTTATGACATACTTTCAATCCAAGATACACCTAACATTGTAATTTATACGTAGGAATACATTCATCGCGTTGGAAGAACGGCACGTGGGGAAGGTAGCAGTGGGCACGCTTTATTAATTCTACGACCAGAAGAATTAGGCTTCCTTCGTTATCTCAAGCAAGCTAAAGTTCCAGTCAACGAATTTGATTTTTCATGGAATAAAATTGCAGACATACAATTGCAGGTATTTTTTAATTACAAAAATATCTAATAATTCATATTTTTCTTAGAATATTTAAAAATTGCGTTCTATCGCGCAAGAAACTATTATTTTTAAATACCAATCTAGCTAAAGATTGTAATTTAAGAACACGTAATCGCTATGTGTTAACCGCATAGTAAGAATAATGAAAATCTAAATGGAATTATTATTATTCGAAAGCTAGTGTAAGATATATCACACGAGATGCAATTATGGTCGTCGTAGTTGCCGCGTGAAAGTGCAACAACGAAGTACGGAAGTGCGTCGAATCGTTCGTGTTTACAAGGAGTATACAAGTCGCAATAATGTTATTTCTTGTCTCTTATTCTCATCTTGTTTCATTCCACTGTATCTATCTCTCGTTCTTTCTCTCTCTCTTAACATTTTTTCAAGTTGTGTGGAGCACGACCTCCGTCTTATTTTTCCTCTTTATTGCACTCGCACAATTTTATTGCACTACTACTCGTTTATATGAAAAGTGGAGGGGGATGGTTTAAGGAGAGGAAAGAGGAGTGGGGGAGGAAGGACTTCTGTGGTAGAAACGTGCGAAGTGGCGCCCACACGCGTGATTCACGCACCACTCCTATTTCATTCTCCTCTTTCATCCCTCTCCTCTCACTTCATGTAACAACCATTCGCTTATTCGAAATCAATCCAGGAACCACGCGGACGCTTCGTTCGCACTTGGAAATTAACGTTGAAAGATTTGATTTCGAAATACCGTGAAATACTCCTCGAATCTTGAATATCTTCACTTTAGTCCCATTTCTTTCTGATTTTTCTTTTTTTTTGGCCATTTCTTTAGAAGTTAAAAATACATAGTAACTTTCTTTTCTTATCTTACTTGAAGTGAGTCTCTCATAACGAGCAGTAAATTTACCCGTAGTTATATTTTACGAGACAATAAAATGAACGATGTATCCGGTGTAATATATTACATTTTGTCTGACTTTCTTTTTTTAACGTAGAATTTTTTTAATTGGCTTATTTATAAATCAACGAATTAATTGATATTATTTTGTAAAATGTATTTGTACTGTATTAGATTGTTTTAAATATCAATGACGAGTTCGTTTTTTTACGAACTTGGCTTCTAACTTTCTATCATCCTAAACTGGATCACATGATTTATACTATCTCTTTCAGCTGGAGAAGTTGATCTCTAAGAACTACTTCTTAAACATATCAGCAAAGGAAGCGTACAAGGCGTATGTTAGAGCATACGATTCGCATCATCTCAAACAGATCTTTGATGTTCAGACATTGGATTTGGCTAAGGTGGCTACATCTTTTGGATTTGTTGTTCCACCAGCTGTTGACTTAAGTATGATTTTATAAATAACATAATTTATCCATTCAAATTGTATATTTGATATATTTTTTGATCACATAAGATTAACATTTCATTGATTTGGTTCTTATAAAAAATGGATCTAAGTGAAGAATTAATTTACTGCACAATTCTCGTATGAGACAATGTGATTTAATTATATGAATAATGCGATAAATTAATAAGAAACAATTTTTATTATAATCAACGGTACATTCAACAAGCTCAATGTTTAAAAATTAACTTTTCACTTGTTTTAAAAAGGAATTTTAGTTAATCGTTTAGCAAGAAAATGCCTGTTCAGTTTCCTTAACGCTATGATAATTTACAGAAGTAGGAGCTAGCAAAGATTCGCGGCCACGGAAAAGGCTCGGCGGAGGCGGTTATGGTTTCTACAAGAACATGAACAATCCAAATGCCTCACGACAGTTGCAACGTACCAAGACCTTCCGCCAGGTGGGTAAACGTGGGAAGGACAACCGACAATTCTCCAGATAACTTTTATATGCATAGATATATTCTTTTTGGTTCACAAGTCTTTTTATGCTTTGAGTCAACCGTACGAAGTTTCCTTTGGAAGCGTTAAATTATACCTACAGGTGTAGGTACTTCATTATTTCCAATTTGTCTTTTATTACAGCGTATCACCTACTAGAAATTCTCTATAAATGGTAACGCGATCCAGCTCGTGTAAGAAAGTTTATTTTGTCTTTCTTGTACAGCTTCAATCTTTTTTGTCATTTTTTCTATAATTTTCTTCAGCATAAAATCAGCCTTCACTTTTAATTATTTGTTTATATTATATTATACGAGAGCCAACAGAAAAATTCGCGGTTTTCTTTATTTTATTTTTTTTTTTTGAAATCCTTTCCAGTGGAAAGGGAGAAGAAAAGAAGAGTTGACGTATAAATTTTATTCTTAAAGGAAACAAAAAAGCAACGAATTTTATTCCAATTTTTCTTACACTGGTATGAATGATTAGGACTAATTAATGTTTATTTGAATGACACGTGTAATAATACAATGTTCCTGTTACAAAAAAACAAATTATGCGTCTACTCGCTGTTACGTGTTAGGCGAACAAGATCGTAAGATTTATTGTACGATATTTTAATGTATTTAATTAAAGATATTAATTCTTAAGTTAATAAAATATATTATTCTTCGCCTTAATCAGTAAAAGTGGGTTTTTCTGTTTGCGATGGCCACCAATGAAAACTTTCTTCACCCTTAAAAAGGAAATGGTAATTAGTTATCTCGTAGAATAAATGTAATGGATAAATTAAGGATTCCTCGGGGAGAATTTAATTATGCAGGATCGTGGAGAACAAGTAGGAAGAAACCAATTTTCTTTAGCAAAGATCGCTAATTTTTATTAATCAGCCCTTTAAATGTTTATTTTTTTTTTTTTTTTTTTATAATTATGCATCAATTTCAACTGGAAGATATTTTTCGCGAAAAAAAGAATCTCTATCGTCGCATTACAGAGTTTTATTATATTAATATATATATAAAAAAAAAATAAATATATAAATACGTCAGATCCGCAGTAATATATATATTTATCTTAATAAAAGAAATATAAATTATACTCGACGAATAAAATATGCGTAATAATTAATTTACGATTCAAGGTCAAAATAATTGTGTTCTTTTGCTCGTTGATCAACACGTCATTTTAATTAGCATTAATTGAATAAATTAAATCCACCGATCGATAACCGGGGAATAAAATTGGAGATCCGTGTGTGCATATATTTTATTTTTGATATTATTATTATTATTATTAATATTATTATTATTATTATTATATGGCAAATAAATTTCATGTTAACGTGGGTCGATCGGGAAAGTTCTCGAGATAGATCGAAAACAAAATTGGTAAAAGGTCTACCCCTCGAAGCTATGACAAAATAGAATATGTCATTCAATTTAAAGAGTAAGAGATAAAAGCCCTATCGGGAAGAAGAAGGTAGACAAATAATAATAAAAAAATAAAAAGAAATACAGGAAAAAAAAAAGAGAAATAATTTATAACGCCGAACACCCACGTGATACCGCGATGGGGCCATGTATGGATATGTGACGTCAACGTTACTTTACATTAACCAATATACTTGTGTAGGCGCTTGGTACACTGCATAGAAGGTAACGCCCGTGGGAGAACTGTAAGACGACAGCGCAGCCTCCGGAATCGGTCCACCATCGATTCTCGATTATTTCAAATTACTTTTGTTTCATCGATCAGAAAAAAAAGAAATTAAATAACTTTCTTAAGATCACATTTAACTTGTATATTATTTTTTATTAATAATAATAATCAAATAATTAGATCTTTTCTAAACAGATTCGTATTTATATATATCGATCTTTAAAAAATATAATAAAAATAAGAAATAATTAAAAAGTATTAAAGGTAATTATTATTTTCGATGGTCATATCTAACTCGTGTATAAATTTTTATTGATAACAATAAACAATTTGGTCGTTTCCAATCAGATTCGTTTTATTTATCTTAGAAAAAGAAAATAAGCAATTAAGATATATCAGTATATAGAAAATTGTATTTAATTGGTATATAATTCTTTATTGGAAATAATGCGATAATTAGAAATTGAACGATGTCTCACAAGGGCACAGCAATCATGTGCAACCTCTGATCTTTTTACAAACTTTTCACACTTGTAATAGTCCATGAGAAATATACATTACACCCTTTATAAATTGATTGTGGCCAACCATTTGCGAAAAAACGGGGGTAGAAATTTCGGAAAAATTCTTATGTTCACTTATATCTTTTGCTTCGATAGAGTAATAAGTAGCGGCGCGGTCTCGTATTCCTGTTATCGTCGGATCGAATCCACGACGAGGAGAATTTTTGTTTCCTTGATGTTTTTTTATACGAATATTATCCTAAAAAATATGTCATCCCAGGCACGCTAAAAGATTAATTTATGGTGCTTACATGAAAGTACTAAACACCTTACAACGAAATCTAAATCCTGTAAATTTTATATCATATTGTCTTCATCTTGAAAGTTTAAGATTTTTTTTCCTTTTTACGAAAGAAAATAAATTAATATTTAATAATATTTTATATATTTTTAATATTACTTTTATTGATAATGCAAAGAAACAGAATTGGAAGCAGAGGTAGCTGTATACAACTAGTAAATACAAAATAAATCTCAACGAGAGAACGGTTTTCACTCGAGGAAAGTTTCAAGTGTCCTCGTGAAAGTCCTTTCCTATACATTACCGCGTTTGGTTATATATACAGATATATAGAAACTTTTTCTTCAGTATCCGCTAAAGACCGACACCAAAATACACCCACGCGTACTTTCGAAGATCGACGATCAGTATTTTCATTCCTTTTAAAGGTACAAACCAAGTACTCTGCGTCAACCAATCTAACAGTAAACTTTCCAAGTATGGACTACTTTTTCCTGTCCTCTCAACACTTTGCTTACTACAATATTACATTCAACAAACTTTCCTTAAAAAAGGAATTCAAAAAAACACGATATAGGATGATTTAAATATTAATTATTTAATTATACAGGGTGTATATCAAAAATTTATAAGCTCCCTCGTAGTTTGTACAATATAAAGAAAAAATTATCATAAAAATTCCGGATAAAAGAAATAATTTAAATTTTAAAAATTAGCCAAGAATTTTAATCCCACCCTGTAGAATAAAGATATAAATCATTCAATTTATTATGAATAATAAATGTAACTCGACGCGCGCATTTTATTAAAAGCCACGTACAGCGTTGATTGATATCGATAAAGCTACTACGTGATTATTAACAACACTGAATATAACTAATTACTGTTCATTACAAGGAGATACGAAGAATATATCAAGCATGTACGTGTTACATACGTGACGAAAAGGAATGAAGAAGGCGATGTTCCTTTTATCTTTGATATCCGTTTACTCTCGAGAGATGCCGAGGTTCAATATTATCTGCTTTAGATGCGACACATGAAGGTAGATTGAAAGCAAGTAGGTAGAATTATTAATTATGCATTCCGAGGCATATACCACTTTGAGATTGTAACGACGTCGATTCGTTGATGCAATGTATCGTTTCGAGATAGGAGGGGCCGTTACGTTCTATGAGAAAATATTCAACATCTCTGCTGTTGTATCTATTTGTCTTTATCCATTCATTATTTCTATCTTGTGTCTATAATTTTTTAAATTATTTGTTCATTTTATTTTATAAAAGATCGTTGATTTCTCTAACTAATTAAATAAATAAATATAATGATGTATTAGATGTAGCAATTAGATTGGTGCCTTTTAAAAAATTTAGTATTCATTTATAAAGTAATTATATATCTGTTATTCTTCGAAATAGTCTCCATTATATTCCATGATTTTGATCCATCTTTCAGATAACTGTTGAATTCCTTAACGAAAAAAAGATGGTGATTTTGATGCAATGAATTTAATATCATAGCATCGAATTAATTGCTACACCTAATAGTTTTTAAATGATAATATTCGCGACTAATATTCCAATTTCAATGATACGATAGAAATAGCAATAAAAATAGCTAGGAAAATGCTTTTGTATAATTCTTAAAGTACGTAATTAGGCTTGCGTTTACTGTGCATACCAAACGGTATGACCATAATAAAATGAAAGGCAAAGGTAATTAAACCGCTGTTTCTGAAATAGTTCAGAAATATCTGGTTGAGGCGACGTGTCTTCGGTGCGGCACGATTTATGAACCAACTATTAACTACCTTTGTAATATTTCTTTACAATAATCTCTTTTGTATAATGAGTTTTTAAACGCGATACTCTAAGTCGTTGACGAGATATCATTTTCTTTGGTTTTATCTTTTATTTTCTTTTTTCTTTCATTCGTCAATCAGCTTCTAAGATAACATTTTTAATGAAGATACCAAAAATGGATTAAGTTCGAACTTACATTCGAATATATTATTTCCCACGCCCGATTCTTAAGATTTACAATGTGTCTTCTCTCTCAAAGGAAACAGGCATGACCCACTTATCCTAGCGATGTTAAGTGTAACGATATGTTATGGATCATAAAACATAGGCGTCAAGGATATGTTGTTACACCAAACACTTACCACTCGCACGCATTAATTCGTAAACATCGGTATTTTTTAAATGCTATATAAATACGTATAAGTTATACGAACATACAAATACTATTTCTTTGTAGAGTCGTTAAAATTGTACCTTTCAAAATGTGAACATTCCAAAGATTATAATTTACTTATACGCAATCTCTAAGTAAACATAAGAAGAATCGAATCATACGTAATAGAATACGACCATTTCTAAATTAAATAAAATTTGAATATCTGTACTAAATTCAATCGAATTACAAATTAAATCTATTATCGATTTAATTTGATTTTCGCGCGGTAAACAAACATGGCGGCAGACGATTGTTGGAAAATCTCTCATGTCAGTTCATTCGATCCACACATTTATCGGAGCGATGCGAGTGCCACCTCTACTTCATTCTACTACAATTACATATTTAGAATCTATAATTTTGATCTCTGATCTAAATATTATTCTTAAAAAAAGTAACCATTTCATTTGAAAACAATATGATAAGTTAAAAAAAAATAAAGTACATTGGTCAGAGTAAAATTAATAATAGCAAATATGGGAGCAGGGCGACGTAGAGAGTTTAATACATTTCTGTTATCCAACCGCCATGTGTATCTCTGTCGAAGAGGCACGCGCGCACGTAGAGAGGAGAGGCCGTATATGGTAGTGGGCGGCGAACGGCGAACGAATGTTCGCGCATGCGTCCACGAGCGGAGAATTCGGATGGGTTGGTATTGAATGGGGGGTGGTGGGGAGGGAACCGGGCCTGGGTTAGAACGACGCACGCACAGCCGGTGCAGTAGAGTCGAGCGTCTCGTAGCGTGTGTACTTGTTACTCGACGATCACGCGACTGCATCCGTGGAATTCGATTTGTAATATATCGAGAGCGAGAGAAACAACCAAAAAGAAAAAAAAGAGAGAGAAATAAACGCGTATCGCGAGTTTTCTCCGTCTATTTGAGATTCTTTCGTAGAGGACAACCAACCAACAACCCCCGGTCCTTCCTCTCGCACTCTCCTTCTTAACACACACGCACGCACGCTTTCTCTCTTTCTTACTTTCTTCCTCCTCTCTCTTCTCTATCTTTCCTCCTTCTCCTTCGCTCTCTCTCTCCAATTGCCTCGCCCTCTCCCTTTTCCCCTTCGCCGTATCTCTATCTATTCCTTTCTCTCCCTCTTTTTCACTCTCCGTCCATCACCCGCACGCGCACGATGTACGCACTACTGCCGCCGTTGCTGTTGGTTGATCGTTTCTAAAAACGTAACAGCACCGTGGCGACTCGCGGGCAAAGAAATTCTAATAATAAGAAGAAGAAAGAGTTGGATTGAAGATAAACGAAGCGAACGAGAAACGGGATCTTCTCCCTGAGAGAAGAAAGAAGAAGAAGAAGAAGAAGAAGAATACGTAGGCACACGGTGACGCGACGACTACGACGGAGTGACGTGAAACGTGCGGAATACGAAAGTAGAAGGAGAACGTGACCGAAGAAGAAGAAGAAGAAGCAGCAGCAGCAAAAGAAGAAAAAGTAGCAGTATAGTTGTGGAAGAGGGAGTCGAAAGTAGTGTCGTGGAGGAGAGCAACGTTCTTTTTTCGAGTCGCGTTCGCCATCGTTTTCTGTCTCTCTCTTTCGCGCGCGTTTCTCTCCGGCGTGAGCGCGCGCGCGCGCTCTCTTTTGCTCTCTTACTTATTCTTTCTCTTGCTCTCTCTCCCTCTCTTGCTCAGACAATATACACACATATACGACTCACTCACTTACTCACTTACACACTTAGTCAGTCAGTCACTCGCTCATTCTTCCGCCGTCGGTCTCTATCGTTTTCTTCTGCTCTCGTGCGCCCGCCATTGAAGTAATCAAGTAACTGCGATGTGTGATAATACTAACACGACGACGCAGAGTATAGCGGACTACCTGTCACAATTACTAAAGGACAGAAAGCAGCTAGCTGCTTTGCCCAATGTCTTCATACACCTAGAACGGCTTCTAGATGAAGGTAAGCAAAAACAAATACGATATTATCTTTTTATCTTCCTTCCCTTCTATTTATCTATCTGTTTCCGTCTCTGTCTTTGTCTAGTTCATATCCTTTTCTCGATCTTGTACGTACTCGTCTAATTATTATTTATCGTCAACGATTACACGATAAAGAAAGCTCATTTGTTTGTTTATCGTTTCGCTTCAATTCTTAATTTTTCTTTCTTTCTTTCCCTCGTTTACACGAAATTCATGGCCACAACACGTGTCTTATTAATTATTTTTCTATTCCTGTTGTTTTTCGTTTTTATCTTCTACATAAAGTAAAGTTTTATTTTTCTCGTTCGCGCGATTTTAAGAGCCCATTTTGTAACATGAAAAATAACTTTATGGTAAGAAATGTAAATACACGTGATTCGGGTATAAAGATAGAACGATAGGGATATGTTTACATGTTCATTTTGTTTCTTTAAATAATTAAAGTATCGATGTTAAAATATTCGTTAATATTTATGATATAAATGAAGGATATTGTTCGGCAGATTTTCGTCTAAAATATTTCAGGATTGTTATATTATTGATACAATCGTGTTTGATATTACTCGAATTAGTGAAAAAGAGAAAGGAAACACGCACTTTTATCGCTAAACATTTTCTTTGCCTAGTGCGTTGCGGTTTATTTTCTATCGCGTGTCTTACACACGGAAATGATATCAGGAAGTTGACGTAATTTCGAAGAATAAAGTCTGACGATCTTGAAATTCACTTCCCAGAAAAAAAAATATTGAAATACCTTGAAATATTTACATATGTTATATTAATGTTCGAAGATGTACGCGTAAAAATGCATTGAACTTGTCTCTTCTTTGATAGGTTGGGTCACGTGACCAATTTAAAAATCACATGTCGAGAAAAGTTAAATATTTATATACGAAAGAAAAACAAAATAAGTATGTTGTATGAAAAAGATAATAAAAATAGGCGATCTAGTTTTGATTTATAAAATTAAAAATCGTATGTTTATTGTTCGTTAATTTGACATGATAGTGTTCGTGTTGCATTGTGGATTAGTCTTCTCTCTGTTTGTTCTGTCTCTGTCTCTTTCACACTTGCTCAATCATTTTCTAGTCTATAAGAAGAGTGACAAACGTCAATGAACGATTATATTTTGTTACGATTCTCACATGTCATTTCTTATTTTTATTATTGAATCATTGAAGAACGATTGAAATGTATTATTTTATTTCTCGTGTTCGTCATTTTTTTTATTTTTACTATAGATATTTCTTAATTTAATAAACAACGCGCAACAATCAAACGGTTACGTATTTGATCGATATGTGATGGTACGTTAATACATAAACATTTAAATATATTTTTATTTACTTCGAAAGTGGTTGTTTGTTTTTCTTTTTTTTAAATGTTTTTTTTTTAAACTCTGAATGATACTTTCTCACGGCTAAGGAACTGACGTTTTCTCATCTGTATCTTGGAATTTCGAGGAGGATAATCGATTCCCTGACTTATCGTTGAATCTGTGTCGACAGAGTGAGAAAGAGAGAGAAAGAGAGAGAGAGATTGACTTGAAGTTCGCCGTAATAGGAGTGCAAACACTCGCGTGCACGTTTACGTTTACCGGCCGATTATGTCATTCGCTTCAAAATGGTACTTTACCTTTACGGAATATCGGTACTACCATAATCGACTATAATTTTTCAAGCGGCACTGTGAGTAGAAAACTTTACTTCAAGACGCATTAAATACCTAACTATTTTGAGATTGACAGTTCTTCGAAATTGTCTACCATCTTTCTCTTTCTCTCTCTTTTTCTCTTTTATTCCTTTCCTTTTCTAGTTTATCTACATATAACGCAGTGCTATCTTTTTTTTTATTCTTTATTTACTAACATCGCTATTCTCATATTTTTCTTACATTTTTTATATTTTTTTTGTTTATATAACCAGAATACTACTTGCTATCATTTGTGGATAATATAGAAAAAAGTTTTAAGTAATTTTTAAAATTATTTATTGCAAGATTACATTAATTTTTGGTCTTGTAATTTGTAGGTAATTTAAAAAAGTATTTATTTACTTCTATATATTTCAAGATTATATAATTTTTTAGGATTGTAATTTCTATGTAATTTAAAAAATTAGCTTCTGTTTCAACATTACCTAATTTGTCAGATTAGTATTTTTATTGTTAGACTTGTGTTCTTATAACCTAACAATGAAACAAATCTAAAATGTATTGAAGATTAATAATTGATTTTTTAAATTATTTATAGGCGCTTTTACAAAATAATCTTTTTTCCCACCAAAACGGTTTATTCTTTAAAAAGTTTAAAGGTTACTTAACGAAGGTCCACTAGATATCCAACGAGAATGTAACTAGCTTCTTAGCACGAACTATGTTCACTCGGCGTTAAACTTAACGGTACTTGGCAAATTATGAGAAAAAATGTAGGAGGTTTACGTGCTTTGCATTAGCGAGTGTGTAATATCTTCCATGTGTTACTCTTCTACTTGGTAACAAGTGGTACTATCTATTTTTCTAATAAAAATAATTGTATATTAATTCCCATATACACCTCCCACTCCCACAAATTATATCTGCATTTTATCATTCATTTTTATATTTAAAGAAAAAAAGAATAAAATATATCAGTTAAATTAACTGAAATTCAAATCATTGAGAGTTATTAATTTTTGTTGCAATTATAACAAACGTGTTTATCAAATTGAATGACTCTGATTTTTCTCTGTTTTTGTTTTACATTTACTTTCATCGGGTTAAGTTTTTCTTAAATGAAAATGATTTGAAAGGAAGAAGGATGTTGATTCCAATGAGCATCACTGCCATGAGCTCTGGAATCCTAAGCTCTTTTACGGGTATAGCAAAAGTAGCAGAAGCTACGTCTCTCAACATCAGTATGTGGAAGGACACGAACGCACACGTACTAACCCTTCTCCTCTTCTTCTTCTTCATCTTTTCTTCTTCCTCTTATTCTCTGATCGCCAATCGGCATCGTACTCTGCACATACATACATACATTCATATACATATACATATATATATGTATACACACACACATATATATGTATGTATAAACGTACTTACGTGTACTTACATACGATGGCTCGAAACGTGCCGCGAACGCGTCCAAGGAAGGAGTCTATTTCGAACTCATCGTGGCAAGTTTTCTTGGTGACCTAGTAGCGCGAATAGACTCGTCGTCAAGCGCGTCCTTTCGACACTGTCTAGCGAAAACTTGGACACACTTTGGGGTCCAGTTTGCCTTTGCCAGTGGGTCAATCGACGCGTGCCCATTTGCTTTTAACCCTAAACCATCACCGATCAACAGCAACAGACAAATGTTATGCATCCCGGAAAAAACGTGTCTTTCTTACAATTAATATTAATTATTTGTAATATATCGATCCTCATTAACATATTTAAGTTAATTCATGTTTTTTTAAAGGAAATAAACATCAAAAGTTTCTTCAAGTATATAGCTAAAAGTTTTTTCATTGTGTACATATTTTAAATTATATTAAATATTTTTGACCCAGTGTTTATATTTTAACATTGTCTAATAGTATGGATAATAACGAAAAATTATACCATCTTATCGCGTTTTTCGAATTACAAAGCAAACAAATATTGGTTAATTATTCACGCATGGTAACTGACCACCACTTGCATTGGTTACCTCGACCTGTTTGCAATTGAAAAGAATAATTAACTAGTAACTTATATATATATACATTATTTTCAAACACAGAAATGTGTAATTTATCTAATCATTTATTTCCATTTATCGTATTTTGTAAAACTTTACTATTAACGTGGTAAATGAACTTAATCATACACATATATAGAATATTATGATTGTAAGAAAGAGAAAAGATTGGAAGTACAAAGTAGAAGATCGATTTCAGGTTCGAAGCCATCACTGTGTTTCTCGTAGGTCCTCGACGTTGGTTTTTCCCCTTCCCCTTTTCTTCTTCTTCTTCTTCTTCGTTCACCTCTCTTCTCTCTTTCTTCTCCTTTCTACCACCACCCAGTCACTCACCAAGTGCTGGCTAGCGGCTCTGCACGCTTCCAACGTGAAACAAGGCGGTCGCATTCCTTTCCTCGAACGGTGAAGCTCGGCTTCTTCGGCATCGGCCGTTTGCTCGCTTGAGTAGAGGTTATGTACCTACCAGCTAACTTCAAAGAAAGAAAGATAGAAATAAAGAAAGAGAAAGAGAGAGAAAATATACAAAATGCGTCGCGATGATGATGATGATGATGATAATCGACGAGTAAGGGCAATGATCATTTACCGAAGGAATTGATTAATCGAGAAGTTTCCTTTCCTATCTTGTTTTCATGCAATTCTAATAGTTATTTATGTACATATGTATATATATAACTATATAGATGTGTATTTTCTTGGTGTAACATTTAACGCATTAAAGTTGACGCATATTCTACATTAGTCGATGACTACTACAAAAGGAAAGGATCGATATTATCGATTGTCGTACTTAGCACATATCCGAGGTTTTTTTATTTTGTTCCATGCATTTGCGATTAATTTATGTCATATATGTGTTAATATATATATGTGTCGTATATCTTGCAACATAGATGCGGTATATGTGCTTACGTATACGTGTATATTATTGTGATATATGTATATTATCAAGTTGTCTCATAAATTCATACGATTTTTTCTAAGTAAATAAATAGCAAAAAAATCGCATTAACACTTAATGGACAATCTAATCATCTTTCTATTCAAAATTTATTATCTATACTCTTAATATTTCATATATGTATATTTTAATTATTAACGTAACACATTTTTAAAGTTAATTTAAAATTAATTTCAATTTATTATTGAGATAATAAGAATTCGAATAATGAATTATACAATAATTTTTGAATATGAACTTTAAAACTCAAATCTCGTTCTACTGTAATTCCGACGAATATCGATATAAAAAAAAGAAAGAGAGAGGTAAATAA